GCTGGTGTGGTACGGAGAGGAGTACGGCCGGGAGCTGGGCATCGCCTGGGACTTCATCTGGGACAACAAGAGCCGGGGAGGAGGTCACTCCTGTCCTCTGTCTGTCTCACTGCCACTCCTGTCCTGTCTGTCTCACTGTCACTCCTGTCCTGTCTGTCTCACTGTCACTCCTGTCCTCTGTCTGTCTCTCCTGTCACTCCTGTCCTGTCTGTCTCACTGTCACTCCTGTCCTGTCTGTCTCACTGTCACTCCTGTCCTCTGTCTGTTTCTCCTGTCCTCTCTCCATCTCACCTGTCACTCCTGTCTGTCTCACTGTCACTCCTGTCCTCTGTCTGTCTCACTGTCACTCCTGTCCTCTGTCTGTCTCACTGCCACTCCTGTCCTCTGTCTCACAATCACTCCTGTCCTCTGTCTGTCTCTCCTGTCACTCCTGTCCTCTGTCTGTCTCACTGCCACTCCTGTCCTCTGTCTGTTTCTCCTGTCACTCCTGTCCTCTGTCTGTTTCTCCTGTCCTCTCTCCATCTCACCTGTCTGTCTCTCTGTCTCTCCTGTCATCTCTATGTCTCACTGCGCTGTCACACCTGTCCTCTCTGTGTCTCTGTCTCACTCCTGTCCTCTCTCTGTCTCACATCTGTCACTCCTGTCGTCTTCTCACTGCGCTGTCACACCTGTCCTCTGTGTCTCACTCCTGCCGTCTCTGTGTCTCTGTCTCACTCCTCTGTCACTCCTGCCCTCTGTCTCACTCCTCTGTCACTCCTGCCCTGTCTCTGTCTCACTCCTGCCCTCTCTGTCTCCGTCTCACTCCTTTGTCACTCCTGCTAAATTAGAAACTCTTTGGATTCTTTAGATTTAATTCAAAGTCGCTGGTGTACAGATTCTGCATCAAGACACAGATGGGTTTAATGTAAAAAACACTTAAGTTAAATATATTTGTACACCTGTGACTGCCTGTACACTGAAGGATTAGTTCATCTGAACGTGCTCCTTTAGAGTTTCTGTTCCTTGCGTCCGCACAACCGCCCCGACCCTTCTCCCCTCAGATGTCTGCCCCCATTCCTGCTCGCTCCCTCTGACAATCCTCCCGGTCTCCTCTCTAGGACCCAGTGAGCCAGAGGCCACCCAGGTGTTTCCGTGCTCTCAGTGCTCCGTGTGCTTCACCGCCGAGCTCTTCCTCCACAGGCACATCCGCCGGGCTCACCCCCAGGAGTACCTGCGGCTGCTCAGGTCTGGCGCAGTCAGGGCCGAGAGCCTACAGCTGCCGCACAAAGTACAGCACCCACCGCCATCCCCTGCCTCCCCCAGCACTCCTGCAAGAGCTCAGGAGGGTCACCACCCCTCCCAG